TTAAAGTACTCAGCTGCTAACCAAAAGATCAGTGGTTCGAATCCACCAGCCCTCCACAGGAGAAGTATGTGGCGGTCTGCTTCTATAAAGATTTGTTGTTAGGTGCCGTGGAGTTGTCTCTGACTCAGAGTGACCCCACATACAACAAAACGAAACACTGCCCAGTCCTGTGCCTCAGGTTTAGCAAGGATCCTCACAATCCTTGCTAAACCTGAGGCCATCATTGCAGCCAGCGTGCCAATCCATCTCATTAAGGGTCTTCTCCTTTTTCACTGACCCTCCACTTTATCAAGCATGATATCCTTCTCCAGGGAATGGTCCCTTCTGACAGTTTGATCAAAGTAGGCGAGACAACATTTGGCCATTCTTGCTTCCAAGGAACATTCTGGCTGAACTTCTTTCAGGACAGATTTGTTCATTCTTCTGGCAGTCCACAGTGCTTTCAGAAATCTTTGCCAACACTTTACAAGTGCAAGATTTACAGCCTTGGAAACACGAGGGGCAATTTTACTCTGTCCTACAGGGTCACTATAAGTTGGATTCAACTCTGTGGCAGTGGATTTGGTTTTTTGGTTTAGGATAGGCTCTCTGAATTTTTGAGAATGTGATATTTTTGAAAATATAGATAGATACAAATAGAGAAAAGTAAATGTGAGGAAACCCTGAAGAGAGTTTTGGAGAGAAGAAGGTCAAATGAAGGGCACAGGGACTAAAATTCATGGCTAGAATTCGTGGTTAAGAGACTTTTTAAAGGAAGAATAAATCTCTTCAGGTTCTAGGAGGACCTAGTCCCTACCCTGATGCCTAGAGCAACCTTCCAAATTCATGTTTGTAAAGTGCTTTGATCTCTTTGGTGTAAGATCCCGGGTTGTCAACAGCCCTGTTATATTCGCAAATGTTCAGACTGAGGGACTAGAAGCAAAGTTTCTGTGGGTTAATTAATGTTAGAACTTCTCCCAGTTACCAGCACACAAGCACCTTTGCCTATTAATGTGGAGACCTGGCAGCTGTGTCAGCACTTACCTTGCCCTGGCAAAATATCCCTGCCTTTGCTTCCCTGACAAAACACACAATTCACTCAGTTCTAGCTATTTATTCTCCTGCCAGAACTGTGACAAGATGGGTTTATATAGGATTAACAATAAAAACAAAACAAAACGAAATGAAAAAGACATGAAAGAGGCAGGCGTGTCTTTTTAAAATGATCAGTGCTCACCTCCCTCGGCCCCACCCCTGTGTCTGCCTGTACTTTGCATGCCTTGTGCCTGGATTGGATATGTCTGCGCCTGTGAGAACCTTTTTATTTAGACATCACAAGGCATCTGACCAATTTTGAACACAGCCGGCTGCAACACTGGTGCACACAGACGCCTGCTCTTTCCTCACAAAACTCTCTAGTTCAAACATGTTTGCAGAGCATGATTCATGGTGTTTCTTTCTGGACAGTCCAGTGGGTAATTGCCATATGAAAACCAGAGAAACAGATGTAGACCCTGAACCCTGGCTATAAATTTTTGTTTTATGATTATGGGTTTCAAATGCACTGTCACACTGACAAATCTACAATTACTTGAAACAAAATGGATTTTGCTCTCAAACTTTTGCTTTTTTGTTTGTTTGTGGTTAGAAATACTTTTATTACAGTTTCTGTTGTCCTTGATCAAAGGAAGAAAATAGAGGTGATGACACATACCAGAATGTTATTTTATGCCATTCAAGAGGGTATTTGAGAAAGGTTCCTTTTAATTGTTTGACCAATGTTTAAAATGTGTGTCACTAATTTAAACTTCATTATGGACACATTAACTAGGTTATTTTTCACCTTCTACCGTATTAGTTTATCTTTAGAGTAGTACATGAATTTGCATTTCAAGAACTGTGGCTTATTTGTGTGTCTTTTCCTTAACACTTAAAGGATTTGGAGGAAAAATCCAGGTTTCAAGAACTGTGAGAACTGGATTTACTGCTGAAGAAATGATGAGAAACATGTGGCTAAATTGTGGAGTTACTTAATGAATTAATACTTTAAGTAATAGCTCTAACAATTGCTAGCGACATAATTAATTCATCAAGAGAATTGATGAATTGACTAGTGAATACTCTCGCATTAAAAGACACCCATAATGCTATGTTCACAAGGATTTTAAATACTGATCGTTCATTTCCAGACCCAAGTGTTTCTCTGCAGTTAAGAGAATCCCAAGGTGACTGTAAATTTTAAATTTTCTTTTGCAACGAAACAAACAGGTCCTCCAACCCCTGTCTCAACACACATACACATTTTTTTTTGTTGTTGTTTTTTAAATGCATTGCTATAATACTGAAAGGAGAAATTTGGGAACAGTTGCGTTTCTTTCTAGGTGATACTGATTGTCTAGCCTAAAAATTGAGAGTGAGCACTCTAGGGACACCCATCCCAGTATGTCCAGCAAGGAAGTGTCACATCCTGCCCTGTATGCACATACCTGTCAGCAGTGCCATATTTCTCATCTCTAACTTCAGTTTTATCCTGCAGTACTTTACATAGATCAGCTTCTTCCACTCTCATCTAACAACTTTTCATCTACCTCCATTATCTGGTATAAAATGAGACCAGTTTCCAAGAAACTCTGAGGATCTTAAATAAGCTTTTGGAATTATAAGTCTCATGGACCAAGTAGAAATTGGCACATAGTGTGGTGCTTTGCGTATCTTTACAACTATCTATCTTAATGACAGTGTGTTAAATGTTTTGTAAATTTTTCTGTGCTCCCTTGTTTAAAATGTGTGTTTTCTTTGTAGTTAAAGGGTTTCTTGTAATAAGAATCTGTTACAAAATGACCATATAAAAAGAGAGGGGAGGGGGGACACACAGTTTCAGCAAAAATCTCAACCCTTTATTACCCTGGACTTTTCAATAGCAAGAACTAACTGAGCTTGCTGGGATGAAAATTGTTTTAATGTACCTTCATAAAAGGATCTTTGACTTGATAAGTGTGTGTGATGCATACTTTTCATGTTACACCATGAGTGCCACTTAGCAACTCTGCTAGACAGAGCAGTGTTTCAGCATGGAGCAGGGTGCCCCCTGACAGGCTTTTAAAAGGCCTGGATGCCAACGCACATTCCAGCAAGATCCACAAAAAGGAGACAGGAGCAGCAAGTGCTCTTCCCTGCTAAGGATAAGAAGGCTCTTCCTCCCTGAACACCCACTTGCCTGCACTGTTTTATGGGAGAATTATAAGTAAATACTAGAGAGGCAGGAGATAGGGTAGACTGTTTTAATTCCTCCTCAGAGTTTTCCTTTCTTTGATGTACATTGCCTTTTTTAAGCAAGTTGTGCGAAATGGCTGCAGGGTGGATTGACTCTCCTTTTTAAAGTTCTCTTTTTGCTGGGGTTATTTGTAAATAATGCATCTGACCGTCTCAGTTTTTTTTTTTTTTTTAATACTAGATAGAAAGCCCCTTCTCCTTCTAGGCTGGGCCAGTGTGGGAGGAATAAAATAATAATAATAATAATTTTCTCTTAAAATTAAACTAATAAAGCTTGGATTGGGAAGAGGGTGAGAGGATGCTGCTATTTGGTAGTTAGTTAGTGAAAATTGGCCTTTGAGATCTTAAAACCCTTACTTTTAACTAGTTTTCAAAGTTTGTGTTCAATTGTGTGTGTGTCTGTGTGATGAGAGGGGCCGCCAACATGGCTGTTTGGAGTACAGGGCGATGGGAACTATATAGCAATTTAACATTGGACTTAAAATTTTCACACTGGAGTTAAAATCCAGCTTTCTGGGTTTATTTACTGTTCAAAATCGTCTAAAGTCCATATGCAGCATAGGGAATAGTCAAGAATAGTTACCTCTACACCTAAACAGGATTCTAGGCAGCTGGGTTCTAGTTACAGTTCTGAGCTGTGTGACCTCAGACAGGTCCCAGCCTCTCTGGTCTTCTTTTTCCCCAGGAGAAAAAGAAGAGGATGAGTCATAGGTAACATTTATTCCAGGATATGTACTTAGTGCTATGCACACACTATTTGGTGCTGAGTGCCATGCTTACACTATTTCTTTTGGTGCTCACAGCCCTGAGGTGGGCAGTATTAATCCCTATTTTACAAATGAGGAAACTGAGGTCCAGAAGTTAACTATTTGTACCAGATCACACAGCTGGTAAGTAATAGAGCTAGGATTGGAATCCAATTCAATTGACTCTCAAATGTGCACCCTTGACCCCTACATTGTTTCCTCACTTAGGATCTAAAGTCCTATCTAACTATGAGGGTTTTTTTTTTTTTTTTTTTTCCCCTTTTGGGGGTAAAGGTAACTATTCCTGACTATTCCCTATGCTGCATATGGACTTGAGACGATATTTAACAGTAAATAAACCCAGAAAGCTGGATTTTAACTCCAGAGCAAATGAACAAATACAATCCCTTCAGCCAGGGCTTGCAAGCAGGATAGAGGAAAAAAGACTATCAAATGGAAAGTTTCTCGACTCAAGGCTTCCCTGAGGGGTAGCTGTTCTCTGATCTAAAGTTTAGGGCTTGCATGTGCTTTTTTGGGAGTGGAAAAACACATAAGTTGCAAGGAATTTTACAGACAGAGAGGCGCACAGAGGAATTTAAAGGGTGGGATAGGGGTGAGGGGGTGGGTGGGAGGCGAGCGAGTGAGGAGGAATGAACACTCATTTCCAAGCTAAGCCGCCACAAATAAAAAGGCGTAAAAGGAGAGAAGTTGGCGCTCTACGTGAGCCAGGAGCGGCGTCCTGGCTCCTCCCCTGCTCTGTTTAAGAGCACTTCTTGCATTGTTTTTAAGGTGAGAAATGGGAAAGAAAGAGCCGGCTTGTGCACTCCCTGCCTGCCTCTCTGGCTGTCTGCTTTTGCAGGGCTGCTGGGAGTTTTTAAGCTCTGTGAGAATCCTGGGAGTTGGTGATGTCAGACTAGTTGGGTCATTTGAAGGTTAGCAGCCCGGGAAGGGTTCACGGAAAGTTCACTCGCATATATTAGGCAATTCAATCTTTCATTCTGTGTGACAGAAGTAGTAGGAAGTGAGCTGTTCAGAGGCAGGAGGGTCTATTCTTTGCCAAAGGGGGGACCAGAATTCCCCCATCCGAGCTCTTTGAGGACTGGGATGCCGAGGACACAAACGATCCGTGCAGGGTTTGTCTGGGCACCGTCGGGTTAGGATCCGGAACGCATTCGGAAGGCTTTTTGCAGACGTTTGCTTGGAAGGAGAACTTGGGATCTTTCTGGGAACCCCCCCCGCCCTGGCTGGATTGGCCGAGCAAGCCTGGAAAATGGTAAATGATCATTTGGATCAATTACAGGCTTTTAGCTGGCTTGTCTGTCATAATTCATGATTCGGGGCTGGGAAAAAGACCAACAGCCTACGTGCCAAAAAAGGGGCAGAGTTTGATGGAGTTGGGTGGACTTTTCTATGCCATTTGCCTCCGCACCTAGAGGATAAGCACTTTTACAGACATTTGGTGCAGGGGAGATCATGTTTGACTGTATGGATGTTCTGTCATTGAGTCCTGGGCAAATCCTGGATTTCTACACTGCGAGCCCGTCTTCCTGCATGCTCCAGGAGAAAGCTCTCAAAGCATGCTTCAGTGGATTGACCCAAACCGAGTGGCAACATCGGCACACTGCTCAATGTAGGTTTATTTTTTTCCCTTCTTCTAGCAAGAAAAAA